TCCTGCACGCGGAGCCTCCCGGGTCCCGCCCCGTTCCCCCGTGACGGATTAGAATCCCACGATTATTTATTTATTATCCCTACTGCCACCGTTACTTCTGTTGCTCCTGCTGCTGCGTCTGTACGGACGACGCGACACGTGACGTGCTCTGCGAGCCCTAGGGCTTCGTCGGGACGCTACCCTCGAGAGGTTGGGGCTCGTCTCTGTCTCCTCGTGTCTCCTTGTGTCTCCCTGTCTCTCTGTCTCCTTGTGTCTCCCTGTCTCCCTGTCTCTGTGTCTCCTTGTGTCTCCCTTTCCCTCTGTCTCTGTGTCTCCTCGTGTCTCCTCGTGTCTCCTTGTGTCTCCCTGTCCCTCTGTCTCTGGGTCTCATTGTGTCTCCCTGTCCCTCTGTCTCCTCGTGTCTCCTTGTGTCTCCCTGTCTCTCTGTCTCTCTGTCTCTGTGTCTCCTTGTGTCTCCCTGTCTCTCTGTCTCTGTGTCTCCTTGTGTCTCCCTGTCTCTCTGTCTCTGTCTCCTTGTGTCTCCCTGTCTCTCTGTCTCCTCGTGTCTCCTTGTGTCTCCCTGTCCCTCTGTCTCTGTATCTCCTTGTGTCTCCCTGTCTCTGTCTCTGTGTCTCCTTGTGTCTCCCTGTCTGTCTCTGTGTGTCTTCTTGTGTCTCCCTGTCTGTCTCTCTCTGTCTTCTCGTGTCTCCCTGTCTTGTCTCTCTGTGCCCCTTCGTCTCTCCGTGTCTCCCAGCGTCTCTCTCTGTCTCTCCGTCTCCTCGTGTCTCCCTGTCTCCGTATCTATGTGCGTGTCTCTCACCGTGTCTGTATCTCCTCACGTACTCCCCTCCGTGTCTCTGTCCCTCTCTTCATTGTCTCTCCGTGTCTCTCGAATTCTCTCTCTCCGTGTCTCTCTCCGTGTCTCTCGAATTCTCTCTCTCCGTGTCTCTCTGCGTGTCTCTCTCCGTGTCTCTCGAATTTTCTCTCTGCGTGTTTCTCACCGCGTCTCTCTGCGTGTCTCTCTCCGTATCTCTCTGCGTGTCTCTCTCCGTGTCTCTCTCCACGTCTCTCTGCGTGTCTCTCTGCGTGTCTCTCTCCGCGTCTCTCTGCGTGTCTCTCTGCGTGTCTCTCTCCACGTCTCTCTCCGTGTCTCTCACCGCGTCTCTCTGCGTGTCTCTCTCCGTATCTCTCTCCGTGTCTCTCGCCACGTCTCTCTCCACGTCTCTCTCCGTATCTCTCTGTGTGTCTCTCTCCGTGTCTCTCTCCGTGTCTCTTTCCACGTCTCTCTCCGTGTCTCTCTCCACGTCTCTCTCCGTATCTCTCCGTGTCTCTCTCCGCGTCTCTCTCCACGTCTCTCTCCGTGTTTCTCTCCACGTCTCTCTCCGTGTCTCTCTGTGTCTCTCTCCGTGTCTCTCTGCGTGTCTCTCTGCGTGTCTCTCTGCATGTCTCTCTGCGTGTCTCTCTCCGTGTCTCTCTCCGCGTCTCTCTCCGTGTCTCTCTGTGTGTCTCTCTTCGTGTCTCTTTGCGTGTCTCTCTGCGTGTGTCTCTCTGCGTGTCTCTCTGCGTGTCTCTCTCCGTGTCTCTCTCCGTGTCTCTCTGCGTGTCTCTCTCCGTGTCTCTCTCCGCGTCTCTCTCCGTGTCTCTCTGCGTGTCTCTCTGCGTGTCTCTCCGCGTCTCTCTGCGTGTCTCTCTGCGTGTCTCTCTCCGTGTCTCTCTGCGTGTCTCTCTCCGTGTCTCTCTCCGTGTCTCTCTCCACGTCTCTCTCCGTGTCTCTCTGCGTGTCTCTCCCCGTGTCTCTCTCCGTGTCTCTCCTCTCTGCGTGTCTCTCTCCGCGTCTCTCTCCGTGTCTCTCTGCGTGTCTCTCTCCGTGTCTCTCTGCGTGTCTCTCTGCGTGTCTCTCTGTGTGTCTCTCTCCGTGTCTCTCTCCGCGTCTCTCTCCGTGTCTCTCTGTGTGTCTCTCTTCGTGTCTCTTTGCGTGTCTCTCTGCGTGTGTCTCTCTGCGTGTCTCTCTGCGTGTCTCTCTCCGTGTCTCTCTGCGTGTCTCTCTCCGTGTCTCTCTCCGCGTCTCTCTCCGTGTCTCTCTGCGTGTCTCTCTGCGTGTCTCTCCGCGTCTCTCTGCGTGTCTCTCTGCGTGTCTCTCTCCGTGTCTCTCTGCGTGTCTCTCTCCGTGTCTCTCTCCGTGTCTCTCTCCACGTCTCTCTCCGTGTCTCTCTGCGTGTCTCTCCCCGTGTCTCTCTCCGTGTCTCTCCTCTCTGCGTGTCTCTCTCCGCGTCTCTCTCCGTGTCTCTCTGCGTGTCTCTCTCCGTGTCTCTCTGCGTGTCTCTCTGCGTGTCTCTCTGTGTGTCTCTCTCCGTGTCTCTCTCCGCGTCTCTCTCCGTGTCTCTCTGTGTGTCTCTCTTCGTGTCTCTTTGCGTGTCTCTCTGCGTGTGTCTCTCTGCGTGTCTCTCTGCGTGTCTCTCTCCGTGTCTCTCTCCGTGTCTCTCTGCGTGTCTCTCTCCGTGTCTCTCTCCGCGTCTCTCTCCGTGTCTCTCTGCGTGTCTCTCTGCGTGTCTCTCCGCGTCTCTCTGCGTGTCTCTCTGCGTGTCTCTCTCCGTGTCTCTCTGCGTGTCTCTGTCCGTGTCTCTCTCCGTGTCTCTCTCCGTGTCTCTCTCCACGTCTCTCTCCGTGTCTCTCTGCGTGTCTCTCCCCGTGTCTCTCTCCGTGTCTCTCCTCTCTGCGTGTCTCTCTCCGCGTCTCTCTCCGTGTCTCTCTGCGTGTCTCTCTCCGTGTCTCTCTGCGTGTCTCTCTGCGTGTCTCCCTCTCCGCGTCTCTACATCTTCGTGTCTTTCTGCATCGTTCGCTGCATCTCCCCGTGCCTCTGTCTGTGTCTGTCACGGGGAGCGGTGGCGCAGCGGTTAGCGCTACGCTGCACTGCGAACCCGGTGACACGAGTTCGATTCCCGCTTACGGCCAACACCGGTGACGATTATCTGAACCGGTGATGGGCCTCCCCTAGATCGACTCAGCCTCAAATGAGTAACCTGGTGCGGTGTGTAAACATCGCTACCAGGGGAGACAAAGGCGGCCGGGCGTGGTGCTGGCCACCCACCCCCTCGTGTGCCGTGCCGGCCTTCATAGGTGCTGCTCGCTAACAGCACTTGCCCCAACAGTCTGTTAAGGCTACACGGGGAATCTTTGTCTTTGTCGCGTTTCCCCCCGGCGTGTTTCTCGTCTCACCTTGTCCCTTGGACCACTTGTTTAAGTTGTCTAAGTCGTCTAAGTTGTCTAAGTCGTCTAAGTCGTCTAAGTCGTCTCAGTAGTCTAAGTTGCTCTCCCCGTGTCTCTGTCTCCAGCCGGCGCTTTGGATGCTCTAAGAACCGCGTCTCTGCTCAACGACATCGGCCGTGGGTTACCCCGAGTCGCAGAGAAGTCTCTCGTGCGTCCACTGCAACCAACAACAACAACAGCAGCAGCACCTCTGATTAGCACGGTTGGCTACGTACGGTGCGAAAGAAGTTCTACATACAACAGCAGTTGCAGCAGCAGCAGCAATGACACTGAGACAACAACAACAACAGCAACATCAACAACAGCGGGACGACACCACCACCACCAACAACATTGAGACAGCAAGAACGTTGGAATAGACAACATCAGCAACAAGGCCGACCACGGTGGCACAACTGTAGTGGTGGTGGTGGTTGTTGTTGTTGTTGCAGCCAGCAACCTCGACCCAGTAAACAGAGGTTCCTGCGTAGATGATAAAACACATCACCATCATCAACATCTCCGCTATAACCATCATCATCACTACCACTATAACCATTATCATCATCACTACCACTATAACCATCATCATCACCACTATAACCATCATCATCACTACCACTATAACCATTATCATCATCACTACCACTATAACCATCATCATCACCACTATAAGCATCATCATCTTTATCACCACTATAACCATCATCATCATTACCACTATAATCAACGTCGTAATCATCTTCAGTGTGTGTGTGGGGGGGGGGGGGGGTTAAGCATATAACGGTATTGCTCTAGCAATACCGTTATAGCATTCGTCATCTTCATCACCACCACCATCATCATCATCGACCACGGATGATGTCGACGCTGATGACACCACTGATGGTGATGATGGTGGTGATGTCGAGTGCGTCATTAATGACAGATGTCACCTCCACCTGCCGTGTTGCCCGCTAATGTCTCTCCTCGCAACTCCGACTGAGATTGTCGACGGCGGTCCTCTCTTCTTGTTGGAGTCGCCACGTGGCGCAGAGCGTAGCCCCCCTCCGTCTGCAGAGATACACAGATCCACTCTCAGTCCATGCACAGACGAGCAACAGAGGCGTAATCTCAAGCCGTGCACGCACACACACACACAGCACGGGGCAGTCGTCCTGCTTGATGGAGCTGGTCCCTGGTTCACGTCTGGCAACTCGAGCGTCGCACTCGGTTCACTGCTGCACGGAGATCGCGCGTGCGTGTGTGCGTGTGTGAGCGTGTGTGAGTGGCCTTGCGCCGATTGCAAGCTGATTATATTTGTGTCGTTATTATTGTTGATGCGATTAGTATTTTAATTATGATGGACACAAATCAACCTCCGCGCTCCTAATTTTTTTCGCGATCACATTTTTTTTAATTTAGAAAAAAAAAATTAATCGGCTTTCGGATTTTACTAAGTTGTAAAGAATACTGATCGGAAAATAATCTTATATATGTAGTGTGTCGGAGTGTTCACCTCTCGAGCCCATTTGGAAGGTCATTTCACTTGACATTGTCGGTCGTAGCGGTCAGCGCGCCACATTACGAAGCTTGCGACCCGGGTTCGATTCCCGTTCACGGCCACCAACACCGCTGACGATTATCTGAACCGGTCCTGGGCCTCCCCCTAGGTCGACTCAGCCTCAAATGAGTACCTGGTGCGGTGTGTAAAACATCGCCACTGGGGAGACAAAGGCGGCCGTGCGTGGTTGCTGGTCACCCACCGCCTCGTGTGCCGTGCCGGCCTTCACAGGTGCTACTCGCTAACAGCACTTGCCCCTACAGTCTGTTACAGGCTACACGGGGGATCTTTGTTTTTGTGCAATATACCCACTGGGGCAATACGGCCTTGGCAGCTATAGCCTTTGTAACACCCGCTTCCAACGCTATGCGATACATTTCCAGAACTTAACTACACTATAATTAGACTTTTACAGACCTTCCCCATTGGCAAACGTCCAACACTTCATTACAATTAGGCTTCCCTGCCGCCCCGTAGAAGGTTGACGGAGTGGGCGTGGTGGCTATGCGGAGTTTGTGAGTGTGTATCTCACACACACACACTACACGACACACACACTACACGACACACACACAGTAGACTCGAGTCACTTGCCCAGATCGTGCGCAACGCAGATCACCTCGGCGAAGGGCATCTGTGGGGTATAAAACATCCACAACTCAAAGCGCCTCGCCACTCATTATCAATCAACCCCACCGCGCTCCACCATGTGGGACATTCTCAACACCACCTCCTTCACAACAACCACCACCACCAGCAGCACCACCAACAACTTCTGGTCACCAGCTCACGACCTCACCACCCTCCTCAACTGGTCGAGCACCGCGACTCCGGACGCTTCATCAACAACCTCCTCCTCCTCATCATCCTCATCGACGCCATCCTCCTCCGACGCCGTGGCCACGGCGGTGATGGCCACGGTGCTGTCGCTGCTCTGCGTCGTCGGCGTGAGCGGCAACGTCTACACCCTCCTCGTGCTGCGCCTCCTCTCGAGACGCCGGGGCAGCCGGCGCGCCTCGGGCTGCCCCGGTGGCTCGCCGTCGTCGGGCACCGCGGGCTCCGTCTACTGCTTCGTGCTCAACCTGGCGCTCGCCGACCTCGCCTACCTCTCCACGGTGCCCTTCGTGGTGTGCACCAACGTGGCTCGCACGTGGTTCTTCGGCGACGCGGGCTGCCGACTCCTCTTCGGCGTCGACTTCGTCACCATGCACGCCATCATCTTCCTGCTCACGGCGATGAGCGCCGAGCGCTACGCGGCGGTCGCGCGTCCCCTCCGCCACTACGCAGGGGGCCGCTGCGCCGCGTCGTCTCGGCGTGGCTGGGCCGTGGCGCTCCTCGTCTGGGCTCTCTCGCTGGCCGCGGCCGCGCCCAACATGGTGATGGTCAACCTCGGCGAGCTCAGGCTGCGCGGCGGCGGCGTGGCGCGCATCTGCGTGCCCAGCTGGAGCCCCGGAGCGTTCCGCTGCTACATCACCGTGCTGTTCGTGACGAGCGTCGTGGCGCCCGGTCTCATCATCGGCTGCCTCTACGTGCGACTCGCCGTCAAGTACTGGCGCTCGCAGACCGCCACCGCCGTCGCCTCCGTGCGCTCCCCGAGGGTTAAGGTGCTCTACATGATCCTCGCCATCGTGGTCGTCTTCTGGGCCTGCTTCCTGCCCTTCTGGGCCTGGCAGCTGGCCAACCTCTACTTCCGAGACCGTCTGGGCATCTCGCGGAAGGCCGTGTCCTACATCAACCACGCTGTCACGTGCCTCACGTACGGCAACAGCTGCGTGAACCCCTTCCTCTACACGCTGCTCACCAAGAAGTACAAGGAGTTCCTGGCTCGCAGGAGGACTCCCCGTGGTGCGGCCGGCGCTGGCAGGGCGCTCGGAGGCTCCGGGGGCTCCACGTCGTCGCACGACGCGCCCTGCAGGAACGTCCGCATCTCCTCACGTCGGTCGACGATGACGAGCGCTTAGAGGATCTCGGCTTCAGAGAGAGAGACATCGCGAGCCAGAGAGAGAAAGAGAGGGAGACATCGCGAGCGACAGAGAGAGACATCGCGAGCCAGAGAGAGAGACAACTCGAGCCAGAGAGAGACATCTCGAGCCAGACAGAGAGACAACTCGAGCCAGAGAGAGACAACTCGAGCCAGAGAGAGACATCTCGAGCCAGAGAGAGAGACATCGCGAGCCAGGGAGAGAGACAACTCGAGCCAGAGAGAGAGACATCTCGAGCCAGAGAGAGAGAGAGACATCGCGAGCCAGAGAGAGAGACATCGCGAGCCAGAGAGAGACATCGCGAGCCAGAGAGAGAGAGAGACATCGCGAGCCAGAGAGAGACATCGCGAGCGACAGAGAGAGAGACATCGCGAGCCAGAGAGAGAGAGACATCGCGAGCCAGAGAGAGAGACAACTCGAGCCAGAGAGAGACATCTCGAGCCAGACAGAGAGACAACTCGAGCCAGAGAGAGAGACAACTCGAGCCAGAGAGAGAGAACTCGAGCCAGAGAGAGACATCTCGAGCCAGAGAGAGACAACTCGAGCCAGAGAGAGAGAGACATCGCGAGCCAGAGAGAGAGACATCTCGAGCCAGAGAGAGAGAGACATCGCGAGCCAGAGAGAGACAACTCGAGCCAGAGAGAGAGAGAGAGACATTGCGAGCCAGAGAGAGAGACATCGCGAGCCAGAGAGAGAGACAACTCGAGCCAGAGAGAGAGGGAGACATCGCGAGCCAGAGAGAGAGACATCGCGAGCCAGAGGGAGACATCGCGAGCCAGAGAGAGAGACAACTCGAGCCAGAGAGAGAGACAACTCGAGCCAGAGAGAGACATCTCGAGCCAGAGAGAGAGACATCTCGAGCCAGAGAGAGAGACATCGTGAGCCAGAGAGAGAGACAACTCGAGCCAGAGAGAGACAACTCTAGCCAGAGAGAGAGACAACTCGAGCCAGAGAGAGACATCGTGAGCCAGAGAGAGAGAGACATCTCGAGCCAGAGAGAGACAACTCGAGCCAGAGAGAGAGACATCGCGAGCCAGAGAGAGAGACATCTCGAGCCAGAGAGAGAGACATCGCGAGCCAGAGAGAGACAACTCGAGCCAGAGAGAGAGGGAGACATCGCGAGCCAGAGAGAGAGACATCGCGAGCCAGAGAGAGAGACATCGCGAGCCAGAGAGAGAGACAACTCGAGCCAGAGAGAGAGACAACTCGAGCCACAGAGAGAGGGAGACATCGCGAGCCGGAGGATTTCTCAAGTCGGAAGACGCGGTAAGGTCAGAGGACACGTGAAGGGAGGTCATGTCAAGTCAGCGGACCGAATGAATGTCAGCAGCACGGTGATGAGATGTTAACTACCTCACCTATTATACAGGAGGTCGTGGGTTCGATCCCGACCCTGACGCCTGCTGTATATTTGGAGTTTGCGTGTTCTCCCCGTGGTAGCGTGGATTTTTCTCCGGATCCTCCGGTTTTCCCTCCACATTTAGAATAAACATGCGTTTAGAGTATTTGGTTGCGATAAATGTGCACATGTTAAGCCGCTGAGTTGAGTTATCATTTGTGTCCAGGTCGCTTCTGAAAAAAAAGAGCTACACGGCTCAGTGGACCTTACACCTGGTAAAATAAAACAAATAGTTTTAGTTCATTGTTTTATCTCAAAGATCAGAGGACATCCGAAGCTCGCGTGACATCTCAATGACACGTGCTTACATGACCTCATGCCGAGAGACACGCGTCTCGAGCCCCGAAGATTTCTAAATCCAGAGAAGTCAAATGTCACGTTCAACATCGACAGCGACAGTTTTTTTTTGCTTTTAGTGCTTCGTCCGTTGCTCTCTCCCGCACCTCCGATGAGCAGGGTCGGCTACGTACGGTGCGAAAGAAGCTCAACGTACAAACACTGCTCAAGATTAACAAACCGTTGTATTCATCACCAGCAGCACGTCTTATCAACACCACCACCACCGCCACCGTCATCATCACGAAATGACATTGTATCAATGCCGCCCGTGCGCTCAAGTTAATACTGATAATAATAATAGTAACGATGCTATTTTTTAACGCGAACAATATTTCACGGACATCGCAAACGACCGGCAGCTTCGAGGCGCCGAGCAGCGTTCCGTGTGACTCGAACGCCAGTCGAGAGAGAGAGGGAGAAGGGTGGAAAGATGATGGGTCAAAATGTGTTAGGACGCATTCGTCAAAATAGGCACGCAGATCCGCGGAAACACATCGCGCGGGATAAATGTCCTTATTGTTGATTATTATGATTATTATTCAGATCGTTTACCCAGGAAAGCCTCACCGAGTCTCGTGTTTGGCAGGAGGAGTAGGGTGTTGTCAAGTTTTCGCTGTAGCGGGAGGTTGACGATGATTTTTGCTGCTGCTATGTGATCCCGACCCCGAGTGTATTTGCGGTGAATATTTTACTTTGTTTAAATTTGGGCGAATGTACTTACTCGTGTCGTGTCATCGTCTACGCGATCGGTGTTAAATGTGGTTGTGGTTATTGTTGTGCGTGTGGAGAGAGAGATGGGGATGTTAACGTGTTTTACAAGAAGACTGTGTTCGTGATTTATGTTGAGTCAACGCTTTCAAAATCTGACTGTGTCCATCATCATCAGCACATTAATTATCAACATTATCATCATATTAATAGTCTAATTATAAATCAACATAATAAACATATAAATTATTAAAATCAACATCATCAACACATTAATTATCTAAATCATCATCAACATATTGATTATCTAAATCAATATCATCATCAACAAATTCATTATCTAAATCAACATAATCAACACAGCCATTATCCACATCATGATCATCATATTTATTTGTCTACATCAACATCAATGTTATCATCAACATCAACATTCATTCATCAATATCGTCTACATCAACGTTAATCATTGGTACAGTAATGTCGCCCTCGTGTCCACATCATCAACATCAACACCAATCGCTGTTGTAGCAACATCGTTAGTGTGTTCCCATCCACGATGTTGTCACAACAAGACCCGTGTGTTGACATCACATCCAACATCATCATCATCGTCAAAAATCACTCTTACGGCAGTCCAGTTACGACGCTAAGACATCATCATCAACATCACCATGATCAAAATCATCATTAACATCATCAACATCACCATCATCAAAATCATTATGGTTAACTCATTTATATAAAACTGCCTTTGTGTTTAGTTTGTTGTCGTTCACCAGCACCTCCAATGAGCACGGTTGGCTACGTACGGTGCGAAAGAAGTTCCACATACGTACAGCAATCACTCTTGCGGCAGTCCCATTGCAGCGTTAAGGCATCATCACTGTTCTGTATACTCATGCTCCGGAGGGCCATAATCAGCATCACTGCGTGTCCGGGACGTCTGAGGCATCTGTAAAAAAAAGAGCTTTATAGCTCATCGGATTCCTCCAGTATAAATAAACATTCTGAGTCTGAACGTTCGTTATAATGTGAGCCCCAAATTGTCCGCGTGTCTCTGTCCCCACGCCGAAGACTCGAGACTCGGGCACCACGACCCCTGGGATAGCCACGACTCTGATCACGCACGGATCCCGCACGCGCCTTTGTCTTCCTCGATCGATGCAAGCCACGTGTGCGCTTTCTGGCTCTTCGGGTTTGAAGCGGCGTGTTGTTCGGCATGATGTCCGACGTTTCGCTCGATTTTTTTGGTGTAACCGTTTCAGCAGAATTGAGTTTATTTCCGTTATCGCCTTTGCACGAGCGCACAGATCCAGTGATTCAAAACCGCCAAGCGGCTAGCGACACACGCGTGTGTGTGGTGTGTGTGTGTGGTGTGTGTGTGTGTTGTGTGTGTGTGTTGTGTGTGTGGTGTGTGTGTGTGGTGTGTGTGTGTGTTGCGTGTGTGTTGTGTGTGTGTGTTGTGTGTGTGGTGTGTGTGTTGCGTGTGTGTTGTGTGTGTTGTGTATCTGTGTGGTGTGTGTTGCGTGTGTGTTGTGTGTGTTGCGTGTGTGTTGTGTGTGTGTGGTGTGTGTGTTGCGTGTGTGGTGTGTGTGTTGCGTGTGTGTTGTGTGTGTGTGTTGCGTGTGTGTTGTGTGTGTGTGTTGCGTGTGTGTAATGCGTGTGTGTTGTGTGTGTTATGTGTTGTGTGTGTGTGTGTATTGTGTGTGGCCGAACCCGGCGACCCGAGTTCGATTCCCGCTCACGGCCACCAACACCGGTGACGATTATCTGAACCGGTCATGGGCCTCCCCTAGGTCGACTGAGCCTCAAATGGCTACCTGGCGTGGTGTGTAGTAAACATCGCCATTGCGGAGACAAAGGCGGCCGGGCGTAGTGCTGGCCACCCACCAGGCCTCCAGAGGTGGTCACTAACAGCACTTTGCTACACGGGGGGATCTTTGTCTTTGAGGGGCGCACGTGTGGCTAGGCCACGTGGCCAAACACGTACGTAAATGTTGACTACTTACTTAAGCTTACGCGTTAAGCACGAATTAAAGTCGTGAAGGACGAGTTGTTACAACAACAGAAACACCACATTCCGTGTTAATAACACTGTGGCCTGAAAAAAATGTAAATATATAATAGGTGACGTTTCGGACAATGGCCCTTCTTGAGGGCAACATATCGAGGTCACTCAACCGAACGGGACCTTTTTTGCCGGCGTCAAAGTATGAAACACGAAGAATGTGTTTGTCATGCCACTCTACCTCTCTGGCCTCTTTACCTACTGCGAAGGACCATTGCCCGAAACGTCGCCTGTTAGGTAATTGTTTTATTTTAGAGGCCAGAGTGTTGTTATTGGTATTGTTGTTGACACGGAATGCGTACAATGTTATCTTTGCCGCTTGTGCACCACTGCACACCTAGCAGCACGGAATATTTTTTTGTCGTTGCAATCGTTGACACAATGATTAATTAGTTTATGTTATCTATAGCTCTCCACTGCCCAACAGAGCCAGTAAAATTGAAGGGTGACAGTGATGAAAACAAAATTTACACAACGCTTGCACGATGATCTAACCCAAAAGAAACGAACTCTGAATCATATCGGTCGTGAAAAGCGACGCGTATTTTAAAAAAATATATAAATAGTTAATAGAGTCGGACGGGATGT